CATCGTCTCGTCTCTGCAATTCGTCTGCACTCGTGAACTTGTCAACACTGGCAATAACGACAACGACATCATCTCAGACTCCCCAAACGGGTCTGAGATGCCGATGACACTGGTACGTTCCACTCCACTCCACACTCTCTCCTTTGCCCCACGAACCGGATGCGCGCACGCACCGTAATGATGATCACTTTCAACGCTGAAGGCTCACGCCTCTGTGGCCTTATTCACAACACTGAAAATTCTGAACCCCCCCTTACATCGCCGTTTTTGCATATATGCTTGGTTAGAGTAATGAATGCTGACTGGCGGTATTAAAGACAGGATGCGCTGCTCCACGACGGGTACGTCTTAGATAGTAATGGAATAAAGATAATTTTTACGCAACGTGCTGCTTCTGTACACTGTGAATAAACTAAAACTGGCTACCACATAAACCGCTGCACCCTCCCCATCCCCTCCTCCGCCTCCCAGCCCGCGGTGAAGTCCCAGTTGAGAAACACCCACGTCGTGCCCACGCCGACGACCAAAAACCACACCGTCTCAGCCCATCGCTCTGCGGCGGCTGGCTTCGTCTGCAGCCGCCACAGCACCCAGGGGAGTATGAAGTACCGTGGCTCGACGAGCGGCGCGCTGCACAGCGTTGCGGCTGTTGCGGCGAGGTAGAGGAGGACCCAGCTGGTCTTCACCGCATCCTTCTTCCCCCCCGCCGCCGCGAGCACCGCGCTCTGCACCGCCGCAGCGCCATAGTACACCGGCGCCATGAATACCCCCAGCGGCAGGAGGACCCGCCGGAAGAGGTAGAACGTGTAGTGCCGGTTATCGGCCATGAGGTACGGATGCAGCACCGTATTCCCCCAGATCGCGGCCGCGACCAGCAGCGTCCCTACCGCCGTGACGGGGGTCAGCAGCGCGCGCGCCGTGGGCAGCAGGTGGCGCAGGTACAGCGGCCATGAGAAGAATGCGGCGAAGAGGGTGAAGTAGAACAGCTGCGGGAGGTGGACGCCGGCGACGTGCGCGGTCGCGTCGCCGAGCACGATGGTGCCGGCGTTCCAGTGGAGGAAGTACGCAAAGCTGCCCAGCGGGAGCATGAACGGCAGCGCGGCGGCAGCGGTGGTGAATGGGTTTGCGAGGGCGACGGCGGCGAGGGATTGCGGCGTTGTGAGGAAGTTGGACAGCGTGCTGCGGGACCAAACAGGGTCGCGGAGCGTCACCATGTCGTCTTCGTCTTTCGCGCGATTGGCGGCGTGGAGGCGGGTGACGAGGTGTGTGCCCGCGAGCATGGCCGTCCACACGATGTTGGTCTGGCGGAACCACAGCGCGGTCCAGCAGAACACGCCGGCGGCCCAGGGGCGGTTGCGCTGCACTGCGAGGACGGCGCAGAGGATCCAGATCGTGCTCCAGATGTCGGTGTAGTAGAGGCTGCTGAAGAAGGAGAGCAGGGGGAAGAGGGCGGTGTTGAAGGCCGTGTGCGCTGCCGCCGGGTCAGAGGTTTGGCGGATGCGGTAGACGATGAGGGGGAGGAGGAGGGAGAGGCCGAGGCCGTTGAGCGCGCGGAGGGCGGAGGGCGTGCAGAGGTGGAGGTAGGAGAGGGGGTAGGAGAGGAGGTAGAGGCCTGCTGGTGTGGTGAGCTTGGGGTCCCAGGTGGTGAAGTTGTTGGCGCAGTAGGAGAGCGCTTGCGGGATGTGGAAGACTTCATCCTGTGTGCGGTGGGATGTTAGCAAGTTCGTGAGATGAGTGTGGGTGGTGTGTTGTCAGTGTGAATAGAGAGAGTGGGAGTGGGAAGTAGCATACGAGATACGGCTCCGGCACAATCGTGTTGATGTAATAAGACCTCACTGCGACCAGCGCCGACAACACTGCAATCGCGGCCTCCATAGTGTTCGGCTGGTATTCTGGCGTTCTGTTTCCCGTTTCCCACGGCCGGCCGACGCGTTTCCCATGACGCCGGGTAACATGACCCCACCAACAGCTCCCCTCCAGCAGGTCGGTCCTGAATCCTGCCGCACCAATCCGCCATGTCCAACCAGCTTGAGCGACCCATCGGTACCGGCCCGCTTAAGCCGTCTGAAATCGCCTTTCTCGCGGAGACAGAATATGTGGTGATCGTGCCGCGCCAGAAGCTCGACGGGCTCGACCTGATCTCCGTACGCCGCCCCACCCCATACCACCGCACCTCCTGCCCTCCATCTCCCCCGCCACCCGCCCCCCGCTGACGTTCGCAGGGCTACATCCCCCCCTTCCGCCCGCCGCAGCGTGCCAGCATCCCGCTCTGGCTCGCGCTGGTCCTCAAAAAGCAAAAGCGCTGCTCGCTCGTCCCGCCGGTGTGGCTCAGCTCGCACCACATCGAAGGGATCCTCAAATGGGAGCTCGACCACCCCGAGGCCTTCTCTAAGGCACTTCCATGGCGGTGGCTCGAGCTCGCGGAGATCATGCTCGAGGCCGCGGAGGACGACATCCCCGACGCGTCGCTGGGGGGCGAAAAGGACCTGCGCGTGCTGCTGCGCGGGCTGCGCGAGGTGCGGCAGACGAAGGCGAGGCAGGGGCTGAAGTCGCTGGAGAGCACGTATTTGCAGATGAATGGCCTTGGCGCGATGGAGATTACGGAGCTGAGGGAGTTTGCGGCGGGGGTGATGGATGGGTTGAGGAGACTGGGCGCGGATGAGGTGCCCGAGAGGGAGGAGGGGGAGCAGGATGTGGAGATGGAGGATGCTATTGATGATGCTACGACGCTGAGGGGGAGCAGTGCGGCGAGGGATGTGAGGGCGGGGAGTAGTACGGTTGGGAGCGGGAGCACGGTGGGCGGGGCGAGTGGGAGTGGCAGGGGCACGTTTGGCGGGAGTTCGGTGGCGGAGCGGGGCAGTAGTAGGATGGCGAGTAGTAGTGTGCCGCCGCAGTATGAGTATGAGGATTTGGAGTAGTGGATTCTCATCTCAGCGCTGTTATTAAAACTGACCACCTATAGAGGTCGTAATCATTCAGGCAGTATGTGCAATTGTCCAGCTTGTGGGGTGGGTGTCATGCTAATTGGTGGGGTTTGCAGATATCGCAGCGGAGCATTCTAGGGTCATCATCGTGGCGTTTTCGGTTGCCTTTTATAGATTCATTGTCAATGGTATTTCCATGATACAATTCAAACATCAGCATTACCACATTTGTCGTGATCTCAGGGCTGCGGGCAAAACACTCGTGGTCATAAACAGGCTTTAGAGAGCAACCTTTGTGCAACTATAAAATGCATCTAAGGCTACTATGAAGCTACATCAAAGTTGGAAATAAATAAACACTGCATTCTACATACCGTCCGACAGCACTTGATTAATTCAGTTCCATCTCAACAGGTCGGTCTTATTGCGACGCGACCCTTGCTCAGCGCCAAGCCAACGCGGTCGAAGCTTAACCAGACCTCCTCAGGCTCCACGTCTTCTCAGCGCCGACACCTCACCCCTTCCACCACCACCACCTCCAGCACCACCCACCATGGCGACCCCCCCGCCCGACTCCATTCTGCTCCTCAAAGCCTCGATCGCCGCGGGGCTCGACCCAACGCTGTCACCAACCGACGACTTCTCCACCGCGACGCACCTCAACTTCGCGCCCCTCCCGCCGCTGACCACCACGCCCACCTCAATCGCGCTCACCACACCAACCCGCTTCACCCAGGGCTCCAAGCCCGTCGACCTGCGCTCCCTCTACTTCGCATGGACCGAGCGCAACACGCCGATCACGGGGTACATCTCCGCCTCCACCGCACACGGCATCCTGAACCTCGGCTTCGTCGAGCGCCTCGAGCTCGTGACGCATCTCGAAGGCGGCCAGGAGGACAGCGTGCACATCACGCCGCTCCCCGCCTCCGCATCCGCCTCCAGCACCACCCCCACCGGCGCCTCCGGCAAGCCCGCGCTCGCAGGGAAGGTCCGCGTCACCGACCCGCGCCTGCTCGAAATCTACTCCTACGAGCGCGTCATCACCAACCGCAACACGCTGCTGCGCGGGATCAAGCCGACCGACTTCAGCCACGTGCGCAAGCAGGCCGAAGACTTCATCACGCGGCTGCGCGCGGCGGCGCCAGGCGCACCGGGGACCAAGTCGCTCCCGACACGGCCCGGGATGCCGCCCAAGCCCGCGGCGCCGCCGGCAGGCAAGAAGCAGCGCCCGCGCGACCCGATCATCCTGCTCTCGCCGTCCGCGTCGTCGCTGCTGACGATGGGCAACATCAAGCCGTTCCTCGAGACGGGCGTGTTCGCGCCGCCGCAGCTCAACGCCGGCCACGCGCCACAGCTTCTGCACGTGTCGCGCGCGCTGCCTGCCATCAGCCCGTCGCCGCTGCGCTTCGTCATCGTCGACAGCCCGGACAAGTTTAAGCCCGAGTACTGGGACCGCGTGGTCGCCGTGTTCACCACCGGGCAGGAGTGGCAGTTCCGCGGGTACCGCTGGGACAAGCCGGTGGAGCTGTTTCGGCAGGTTAAAGGCTTTTACGTGGGGTGGGATGGCGAGCCGGTGCCGGATGCGGTGAAGCGCTGGGGGGGCGGCGTGACGTGTTTCAGTGTGGACCGCGGCAGACGGTTTAGGGATCGCGAGGTGTGTGAGAAGTTTTGGGAGGGCGTGGAGAGGTGGATGCGGGTTAAGGGGACGTGGAATAGATAGTGTGGTGTATGGGATGGGAGGGATGGAGGGACGGGAGTGGTAGAGGTGAGAGAGAGGATGTGTAATTTTATATCTATCGACCGGAAGCTGAGCGCTGCTTTCTTTTTGGGCTGCTAATTTGCGATTGCGGGCGTGGCGGGCGGTGCGTGCAGGCGGGTGGAGGAAACGGTGCAAGAATGGTAGAAAATCAAAATGATAGAGCAATTCACAAACATCGTCTCCTGTACTCTACAACGTCCCAACCCAGCCAGCCCCAACCCAGCCAGCCCAAGCCTGCCTTCCCCCCACCACATATGGTATAGGTGCCTAGGGATGTGTGGGATGTGGAAGCTGGGTGAGACACTGAGTCATCCCCGGCCCTACTGGTCTAGTAGTATGATACCTGCTTCGGAGCAATCCAGTCTTCGCAGAGGATGAGAGTGCAGGTGGTCCCCGGTTCAATTCCGGGGTAGGGCCTTGTTTTTGTTTTGCTGCTATTGACGCTCTTGTGGGGACGGAAGGCAGGGTTCATTTTGGTGGACGGTCTTGCGGTTGCAGTTTTGATGGGGTGGGGGGGTGGGAGAGGTGTGTGCAGTGGTGTGGAGACTTCCATGGAGGTGTCTATGTGCCCGTCACAGCTATCAAGCCCAGAACTTGTCCGTAGCTCCTGCACTCAAGAACTCGCACAGTTGAAGTATGGTTCGGTTTGATCATGATGTACATAGGCTCAGGTCTTCTAGTGCAGGCCCCTCGCCGTATTCTGTGTTTCTCTCCTCTTCCTGTAAGATACACCTCACACACTGAAACTATGTACCAATGAACAGCGCATAATCACATGTCCAACACCTCCAATTTCCATACTCCAATTTCCGTCCAAAAGGCCCGACCACCTCTTTTCCCTAATACACAAGTTACAACTTCTTTCAACATCCCCAGGGTCCATAGCGATTTCCGTCGCCATGTAGACGCAAAACCCAGCCTGTGCATAGCGAAAGTGTTACGGGATCTGTGCTGTGTTTGGAGACGACGGATTGTGATTAGCTAGTTGGCTAGCTCGGGGTTTCGTGATGGCCATGCTGTGGTTGAGAGCTTGAGTCTTGTATCGTCGTTAGGTGTTGCACATTGTAGGTTTACACCGGTGCGTGTGCTTTACCACCCAGAGACACGTGTAGGAGTTGTTAGGCTTCGTTCCAACAATCCAGATGATATATCTCCCATCCTAGCGTGGGTGAATAAAGAGAGTTTGTATACCCAGTACCGCGTCCCCACAGGTTCCAAAGACGGTCCGCATAGCCGTCCATGCTCCGCTCGTGACTGACGCAGCCAAGTTGACCCGGGCCCATGAATAGCTGGATAGCGCAAGCTATACCGGCGCCCCAGAGCGAAGTCCTGGAAACCCCAGCTCATCTCGCACCGTACGGCACAGCGCTGTTCTTTCTCTGCTTTCCGGGTGATGAAACGGCGTGACTTGTTCACAGGTCATAGGCGCTGGAGAAGTCAAAACACCCCCCCGCCTCCTCTCCCCCACCTTCCCTCCCCCGCCTGTTCCTTACAACATGTACCTACGGCTGTCGCCGCGAGGTCTTAGAACTTCCATGCGCGAGCTTATTTTAGCGCCCGCAGTCCGGTCGAGTCGAGTCGAAGTACTAGGTGTTGTTGCCGCCGCCGAGACATAGAAACGGGCATTATAGCCCGTCTGGGGATGAACAACGCTGTGCCGCACGCTGTATGCGCGCCGGCGGCGCGGTGGTAATATGGTTATTATGGATTCGATGCTGGGTTCTGGCACAGACCCGGTAACATCGCCATATGGGTTCATAATTGAAAGCAGCATGCTCAGAGGCTCCAGAAGCCAGGCACCGGGGTGGAGAGGGTGATGGTGGAAAATCCAGCGTTTTGGTGGGAGCTGTGTGGCACCAATAACAACTGTAGTCGAACGGTGGCTGGTGCGTACATTGTTTTGAACGTCGTGCCCGTGTATATCTACAGCCAGCGTGCGCAGAGATTCTAAGACACGGAGCCGTATTGGCAAGCCGTACGTTTCACGTCCGCTCGTCTCCATCTCGCCATGCCATGGCGCATCCATATTTATACGTTGCATCTCGGACGCAGTTCGCTGGCGGTTCTGATTGGCCGTCAGGACGACTTGGCGGGTGTCGTCTGGCGTCTAAGCGCTCACCACCACCCAAATCATTACCACCAGGTGCTGCGAAACACCTTGGCTTCTTTATGCGGCAAACCGGCGCAGATGCAGCATGGCCGATTAGTTTGCGTGCACAGGACAGTATATAATGATCTCTCCCCCCGCGAGAAATGTGTCGTGCCAGCCAGAACCGTCTTTCAGCTCAACTCAACTTTCACTTCAAGCCGTTCGCCGTGCGAATCGTTCATTGTTCAATACGCTAGTCGTTCAATACCAATACCTTCCTTTTAAATCACAATCATATTTTCAGAGCCGCGCTCTTTTCAACACAACACAAACACATATCATCATGCGTACTTCATCGATCTTCGTTGTCCTCGCTGCGGTCGCTGCCGGGGTTGTTTCTGCCGCGCCTGTCGCTGTCCCAGAGGTTCGTATCCCTCTAACTGCTTGGACCGCTTTGGTTCCTCTCAGCTAACGATGAATAGGGCTGCACCATCGGTGTCACTGGCAGCGCCTCACAGTGCGAAAACTTCATGGAGGAGCAGGCGGAGAATACGCAGAAGGCTGAGCTAGAGGCTGAGAAGGCCAGGTGGGATGCTGCGATGGACGCTATGCCGTCGAAGGATGGCTGCAACGCTTTCTTGAACTGGCTCGGCGGGTGCAAGTAGACTTGACGCATTTGCTTTATTTCTTTTTGTCAATATGGAGTACGGGCTGGGGTCGGAGAATAAAGTTGTTGTTGCATTTGGAGTTTTGGCTAGTCGTTGGTGAATTAGGCGCTGGGAAATAACCTTATCCATACCGCTGCGGGGCCAACTGTGAGACATTACGCGAAGCAGATCAGGGGTGCCGTTGTTTATTTGGACGCTGGAAATATCCGTTTGAAATGCGTTATTTCTATTTTTACACCGTCTCGCTTTCTGTGATCTGAATAGTTCAACTTCTGAGAATTGCCTTTGGTTGCCCCTAACTCATGGCTTGGAGAAAAGGTTGGGGATACCAGGTTTTAGAGTAATCCTAATAAGATTTATGCGTGATCGAATTTCTAAACGCTTGTACGATGTTACAGTTGCTCGGCGGTCGAGGCGCCGCGGGGTACATGATGGGCCCATGGAGTCATCTTGGCCAGTCCGACTATATGTACCCCACCCTCCAATCGGCTTGCTCGCTGGAAGAGGCGGTATAGTACCAACAGAAACACTCGCCGGCCAACTGTTGTTTCAAGGCCAAACACCTGAGGGTAGGGAAACACTAGCCCATAACCATATTTGATACCACTGTGGGATATGAAAGAACGATGGGTTTCGATTGTAAGGTTAAGTGTGTCAAGTGGAGAGAAGAGCTGAAAAGAACGATGAGACGCCAGGAGGCGAATGATTACCTGTGCAGGTGTGATATCTTCAACTACCAATCGAAGGATGTGACTTTAGTAAAAATTCCCGGCAGTTACCCCTCAGCTATCGCTGCAAAATATATTCGTCTTCGTACTCCAACATCTTGAAGTTCGACATTTACCCGTGCGGCAGCCCCGTTACGTCGGTGATCCATGGCATAATGCTGGATAATCCTGTATAGCCTCATAGACCTAGCTTTGTTTAACGTTCTAATTGTCTCTAGGCTCTCGCTGTCTTTCTATGCAATAGTGGCACCTAACAGCAGACAGTGAAATACCAAACCTTAATTCTGATAGTTCGCTGAGATTTCGTAAAGGATAAATAGACATGAGCACGACTGGATGACTTTTTGGAAGATGAACGTATGGTTATGTTCGTTCTAAAGTTAAGTATAGTACAGGAAGAGAAAGAGAGGACCAGAATAGGGCTATGAGACGCCAGGAGGCCAAAGCCCACATGATCAAATCCGAGTGATACAAGGTGCATAATGGACAATTCCATTGGACTTTGGAAACAGTGTGCGTCACGTATCCGTGCGCCCTTAGTCACCAGCCTGAGCTTAAACACTTTTTTGCTTCCGAGTCCGAGCTTGCTCACTCACTGTAATTTGAATTACACATCACACAATTACATCTATCCGTTCTAACTTCTTTGCTCAATACTAGACCTCTGCCATCTAACAGAAACGTTGAAGATGGCAGCTCTGCACCGGTGGTCATTCGACCCACACGTCATGTTTCACGTGCATATGGCACTCGTGTTTCTCTGCTCGCTCTCATGATCATCGCAACGATCATCGCCTCTTCAGCAGATCTGTTAAAACATTTGATGTGTCAGTCCGGTCGACCAGTTAGTCAACAGGAACCCTCGGTGTATTGGACAGAACATAAGCACCGTTACTATGATAAGGAAAGTCCGCAATAACAATACTTCTTTATGCACGATGTTCGTTGGGTATGCACAGGTGAATATTACTTCCTTCATACAGCGACATGATCCTGTGCTAATCACGGAATCTTGAAAGGATTGGATATGGTTCATCATGAGCACAGCCCTTCATCTACAAACTCCAACATTGTTCGAATCACGAGTGATACCTATCACACCCCACAGCACACCTACAGCACCTAGGCAACATACACATCAACAGAACTCCAATTATCTAGCCAACGACAGATCCCCAAAGCTATATCACACCCCACAGCACACCTACAGCACCTAGGCAACATACACATCAACAGAACTCCAATTATCTAGCCAACGACAGATCCCCAAAGCTATATCTCTCACAAAACATCTTTCCACGTTGCGAATATTTTTCACCACCAACTCTAACTTCGGGAGCGCTCTGCAGAACTACAGCTTCCCGCTTAAACTGCTGTATAGAATTTGTACAAACCTATCCTTTTGTGAGATCAGAATCTGCATCGTCGACCATGCACCGAGCATAAATGCCTCCGGACTGTCCCACGGACTATCACACTCAGCCACAGTTCAGCCCTCCTTCCGGTCACATCTGGCAGCCTAGTTGATGAGATTGCTCCAACCGTAGAGTGGACCTACTTAAAAATTTGCGATCCAGGTAGTGACCATGACGTTGTCCAAAGTGGTCGTCCTCAGGCAACTGGAGACTGAACCTCTCATAAAAAAGTCGTTCGCTCATTTTCTGGAGGGACAGCAGATTTGCCTCAACAACAAAAGTTTACTATCACTGTCCAAGTGTCACCTAGAGGGACCGGAAGCGGGCCGAACTGTGGCTGAGTGGACATATTCCGGATGCATTTCTCACCGAGCGATACAAACTTGTCCCGACGGTTTTCATGAAGGCAGTCTCTTAATGCAATCATGGTACTAGAGACCGACTGGCAGGTCACAGCAAAGTAAAACACCAGGTCATATCATGCCTCCAGAGTCCACACGTTGTCTCTGACCTGAAG